TTTTCATTTATTTTTGGTCTTTTTTGTGTATGAGGCTGCTTTATTTGTTTGTTTAGGACAATACTCTGCAAAGCAACATATGCTAGTTGGCCGAGCCAATCAGCAGGTGAAACGCTAATTCTATTTTCTTTTTCATGCATTTTGTATCATTGCTCACTCTCAGGAGTATTCATCGTGTCCATGATGGCATTTTTGCAGATTATTTCCACTCTATAGAGTAGTGTGCATAAAGTGTATGAAAAGCATAGTCTTTTATACAATAATCAATATTTCAATGCATCTCATTCTCTCCATCGTCAGTGATGATTTAATGGCAGGAAGGTTGAGGTTGTGCAGCGGTTCAGCTAAGGCTTAAAGCCACACTGCAGTGCCTGAACACGACTGACATACATTATTGAAATCCCTCGGTCAGAAGGAAGCTCAAATCATGGCAAAGGTACTGACGCCTGTGACTGCAGTTTGAACTCACTCTGAGGATACCAAGCTTTACAACACAGTCCCCGCTCAGAGGGGAGTACTTCTCCGACATAGCCCCTTACACGAAGCTTTTAAAGTCAATGTTTCTTGAAGGAATCTGTAAGGAGCTAAAGTAACAGAATGAATGACAAGAGTTATTTAAGTATTCCACAATTAATAGTCTACCTAGTTAAAAACGAAACATTATTTTTGCTTAGCTACAAACACAATTTCTCACCTAGGTAATAAAAGGTTTTAGACTTTCCGAATGATTTTGTAATGTGACCTTTAGCCTCACCTGTTTTTTTTCTACTCAACAACTCATTCAGTCAGCCCCCTTGTCAAAACAAAAAATAAACTATTTATACAAGGTTACAAAGGCTTGTGCCCTTGATTAACAGAGGTACAGGCTACAAATGCAGATGGCATCATGATCCAGTACCATGCCCCAAATGTCCTAGCCCTGGTACACAGCTAGGGCGAGGTTATGCAGAGCCTCCGATCTCATAGGGCTTGAGTGCTGGTTCAACGTCAATCACGGTAATGTTAGCTGACACACTGGTGAGGGTGGTGACAGGGCAAGGTTATGTGTCACTGTACGCTCATGGCCTGAATGAAGACCAGGACTGCCAGGGCTTTGTCTTGCATGAGGGGTTACCCTTAGGGTTTGGGATCCAAATTAATATACCCCACTACATTTATGCTGCACCTATCAGCAACATTCTCCCCCCAGACCCATGACTGAAGTCCCTGCTTGCCGGAAATTACATCCATACCAACCTGAAATACACCATCATTGACACGCAAGCATAATATATAACGACGCTTGTTTTGTAGCCACCATTTTTGTCCTTAATTGTTGTCCTCACAAAAGCTTTGCTTACTTAACAATTTGTTGACCAAAATACCAAATATACTAGATAATGAAAACGTAGTCACAAATTTTAGTGATGATTCTTTTTCATATATTTATTCTATGTACAAATGAGACAGAGCTTCAACTAAGACTAATTTTCAGAATCAATTAATCTGCAAATACTTTTAAAATGAATGAATTACTGGCCCAAAAGCATAAAAATAGAAGGGCAATCTGAGAGCTCATCCGTCTGCTAAGGCTCACACCCAGATCGCTATGTTAAAAAAACTAAAGAAAAAATAATCTGCCCCTTTATCTGTATCCACTCCAAAATTGAATTGATACTTCTTTGGGTCATTCCCCACCCTTCCACAAAATTGAATGGAAATTGTTAAGTAGTTTTTGAGTAATCCAGCTTAAAGTCAAACAATCAAACAGCAATGACCATAACCTCCATGACAAGAGTGGACCAATTGGCCAATCAGAGCAGAATGGGCTCCATGGGAGAGGATCCCAGGGCTAAAACATTGTTTCAGACAGGGGGTGATAAGGGGTGCTGGAGTAATTTACAGATAAATGAAGTGTATTTTGGACATTAAAACATAAAAGAAAATTGTAAAAAAAAACAACCTACAAATGATGAAAATATGGGCACTTTAAGAGGCTGTAACCAGGTGGACTGGGACAATAATTCAGGCTGGGAATTTGACTCCTTTCCAAGCCCTTTTTACGCAAAGCACCAGACCTCTAATGTTGTTGGAGTATATTGTTAAGTTTATGCAGAACATCCAACTTAGATACAGCGTGACTGCCTACCCAGCTACACCCGTCAACACTCACAAACTGCTGTAAAATTAAATTACAATACGAGATCTAAACACACAGTGATGATGTGTTGGTTTTGGTGTTCGCCTACTGGTGATAGATTGTTGAATTTGGCCCCTGTGAGTTGTGAATCACGTTCACCTAGGCTGTTGACGTTTAATCAATAAAGATCTGAACTGTTGCCATGACCCTGAGACATAAGGATTCAATTTGGTTTCCCCATACCAACTACTGCAGAACCCCTGCGGATTTCCGAGACAGACCCCCAGTCACCTGCGGTTTATCTCAACATCCAGCCAGCAGACGAAAACAAAAATCTTATGCTCTATTTTTTGCAAGGCAAATAATCAAATGTCTCTCACAGTGTATGGCAACAGGCTTTAATCAGGCCCGTGTCAACACTTCAGTAACAACGACAAGAATTACCAATGTTGACATGAAAGATTTACCCTTTGTGCACATGGATTTAAAATTCACTTGCCAACCATACCACCTTTAGAAAAAAAGAAAAACAAAAGACTCCCCTTGCCGATGGTAATTATGATAAAAGTTTGAGGTTCCCGAAGTGGCTTCAGGCTAGCAACATTTAAATATTTCCCCTAATGGAGCAGTTTTAAATGTATCCATCACAAAACTGTTTACACTGATCCATAAAAACTGCACTTAAAACATTAAATATTTGCAATTGGAAGTTTTTTTGTTTTGTTTTTTTAAAGTGTGAACACCTTTTTTTACAAACATAATGTAACATCAAAATATTTTTTTTTTTAGGAAAAGTAGTTCCAGTCTTCAGTTTTAGAAACGTCTGTGAAGGGAAAACGTGTTATAAATTCATCTAAGGAGAATTTTTTTTTCTAGTATTTAACTTGAGATAGTGGAAAAGGATATTCTGTAATGTCGCCATACAGCAATGAGTTCATAGATGTGGCATACATGAATCTTTCACCTCAATAAATATTTAATCTTTGTTCTGAATCATTTAAACCAAAGCCCTCTCTGTTGTTCTCGGGGCAACTTGTGCATGCAGTGTACACAGTTTTAGCCCCACTCCATCCCTCCTTTTTCCTCTCTCTCTCTCCCTCTCCACCTCAGTCTCTCTCCCTCCCTCTCCCCATCTCTCCCTCTCTTTGTCAGTTGGACAAGCTGCTCACTGGCCCTGAAATATGGCACATTATGCCGCTCTGTTGATCATCATTCAGCGTTACACCGTGAATCTGAATGCAATGTAAATGATATGATTCCCTCTAAGGCAACATTAACTTTACTATCATTCAGCTTTTTCAGGTTGACTCCATGAGACAATGAAGTCAAACAGTATAAACAGTAAGGTTCACTGTAACTAAATGCACGGGCTGCACTGACAGATGAACATGAACATACAACTAACGAAAACAATATCTGAGCAACTCTGGTTTAAAGGGGAACAAGGTAAGAACACATGAGATCATTTGACTGTGATACTATTAATTAGGAGATTGGTGGTTGGTTTATGTTCCATAACCATCACTGTGAGTAATGCTGTCTAGTTAAAGGAGTCAACTGGAGGTCATACATAGTTTCTGGCTGAGTGGGTATGCATATGTAGAAAGAAACACTAGAATATGCATGACTGCTATTAACTCTATGTTTAACCAGTCTTGCTTGTAGCTTAGCCCTGCATCAAATGTGCTTTAAAATAGCACACTGTACGTCATCCAGAGCAGTATGATGACTAATGGATATAACAAATATCCTTGACAAATTAATTGTTCAAGTCACAACCCAAAGGAACACAAGTTTCTTCAGTCAAAGCATTTGCCAGCTACAGGGGTACAGAGCTTTCACTAATCTCTTCATTTAGCAGCACACTATGCTAATATGTCAATTACAGATGCCATTTTGCATGTTAACATATTGCTGTTCATCATTTGTTCCCTGCAGCTGTAACATGACGGCAATCGGGTCAGGACATTGTCCATATCACACATGCTCACAACAACAAGAACATTTGTAGAAGATTCAGGTGAGGGCTGGCGTCTGGCTAGAGGATGCAGGAGGCCAAACATGATGTATACATTCTCATGGACTCACTAGAACATTTCAAAGACACTGTCCAAGGGGGCTACCAGGAAAGGTTACTGAAAATATCTGCTAAGAGCAGTTATCTTGACATTTTGAATGAAACAGTGATATATGACAATTTAAGGGATGTTAAAAGTTGTTACAAAAGCTTGTGCTTCTCGTCCAAGTTTATTAGAATTTTGGATTAAGCTAGGTACGTATGAAGATGTCATCCATAGACTTATCCTACAAAATTGGTATTTTATATGCTATACAGACTATATTAGATGGGAATGAGAGACTAAAGAGGTATCACATCAACCAATTATAACTGACTATCATGAGAGCCCAAATGAACAAGAGACAGCACTACCCCCCATACTGACTAATCAACAGGTCCCACACACACACCTCTATTCAGTCACACATTTACTAAAGTCCACCCTGGTGTTTTTCAGGTCAATATATCACATTTTACATCCACAAACTAATAAGCAAACATGTCTTGAAAGAGAGAATTGTATAACAGAATATTGACAATTACTATTTAAACAGGACATCTGGTAACTGTTCTAAGTATTCCACTCAGTGTCCAACCTTTCTCTTCCAGTTTGCATCACATTCCACATCCCTGTCTCTAGCAACAACAGCTAGCTAAAGGAGGGGCCACTGATAGAGTACTTTCTTCAGAGTGTGCAGACTTGTTATCGCACAAGTCAATTAGCTGTGTACAAAGTGGTCCACACAATAACACCCACTACTGAACCTATGACAACAGTACAACTTACCCCATCACTTCTGTCTTTTTGCCTCTAGTGCTTTTTCTCTTTATCCATCTGAAAGTCCAAAGCCTGTTTTGACAACAAGTTTGTTAAACTCTGATGTTTTGACAGCATTCAAACAAGTTACAAAAACACATGAACTGCAGTGACTAAACAAACCACAAGTAGATGTCACATTAGATAACATTACATTTCTGTCTGAATTCTTACCTGTTCATTCCTCTCTTGGATTCCTCTTTATCTGTTTTCTCCTGATGCTGCATGTGTGACTGGAGAGGAGAATCAATATTAATGTCATGCATATCCATCAGCATAAACTTTGTATAATTTATTTACGATTAGGTCAAGTTTGTCTGAATAAAATATATATACTGTGGCATGTTTCTGGCAGAGCACTTTCACTCTGAAGTAAGTTGCAATACCTCTGCAGCAGTGCGACAACGTACTGTACAGACTTTAATACAGCAAGAGCCGAAATAACACAGCTCAAAAATAGTATCCTCTTCTTTCTTTGACAAAAACCTTGCACATTATAATGGTTGCTCTTAAGTAGTAACCCCCCCCCCCCCACAATATAGCTAAACACCTACAGTGTGTGAATATGAAATTTAATTTAGTTTTGAAGTCAGAGTGATATATGATTAAAGGTTCTTAAACAAGGTATATGGCATTCAAATAAAACTGATGGGCTTTAAGTTGGCCAGGGTGTAATGGTGCAATATTTGGAGAGTGAGGCTACTTGGGGACCAATGGTCCACAAACAGGCTACATGAGACTGGGATCAAGGCTAATCCATGCGTATTTTTATGGATCAGTTCAATGAAAAGAATATTATATGGTTGCACTGATTCAACTAGTCTCTGATTCATTCCAATCTTTTGTTCGGCTCAGTGCATCAACTGTCAACAATGCAAACCTGTAGTTGCTTCACTGAGACACAAACATAGTCTACTGTAAAATACTGCAGGTGGAGCAGTGTAGAAAATATTAAAGAAAACTATCAGGGTCAGATCGTTCAAGTGATATTTTCTAAAAAATGGAGCTACTTCAAAGTCAAGCATTTGAACTCCTACAATAATTTGAATGTGTGTCTACTGTAGGATTCATCTGTGGAAATAAATGTAGTATTGAAACTGATATTGAGGAATATTCAGTATTGAAGAATTTTGATTACAACTGGGGGGAGGGAACAGACATGTTGCTTCAAAACAGTTTGTATTAAGACACACATCAATACAGAAATATTACCATATGGGATTTTATACTTGTACTTGGCTTTACATTGTTGAAGTGACACCTTTATATTTGTACACAGTAGGAAGACACACATTCACTGAGTCGAGTTAAAAACTAAATAAAGTCTAAAAGTTTTAATTTATTTGTTTCCCACAGCAGATGATCCCAACAGAGTGAAACGTGTTTGCAGCATGCTACTTAGCTTTAGCGTTAGCTTGTAGCTAAACTAATGTTATTTGATAAAGTTTGTAAGCTAAAGTTAGCTTAACTTGACTAACATCACATTCAACACCGCAAGTAGTGAAGTTAAATCTAACGGTTTATTTCTGCATCCTCAGTAGGTGAGCAGCTTCAATGTGAATCCATGTTGTGTTTGTAGAGGACACTTTAACATTTTAACTCTTCACTTACCACTCATCGTCCTGCCAACACTCAGCCTGTCAACAGGCCTCCAGCCTACAGGCCCCAGACACACTGAGGAGACTCGAACATGTGTCACACGGTCTCACACACCTGCGTGACATCACTGCCGCCTGTGGGCAGCTCTCCGCCTCATCACGGACCCAGAGTCAGTTTCCTGGGAGCTGGAGTTGAACGCTTCACGGAAGGATGAGCGGCCATTTTCCTTCAAATGAGCGCGCGCTGTTGCGGACTGACCAATCAGGTGTGACGATGGTCACGCCCCTAAAGCACGTGCTACACCCGCACTGACTGAGGGGCGTCATGGCAACGGCTGAATTGAAGAAGTATTTTTAAGATGTACACACACATATATACACACACACACACACACACACACACACACACACACACACACACACACTCACAGACACACA